ATCTGATTAATCAATTAAATATGCATATTAAAATTAAACATCAAATAGTACAATATTTTCATACTAATTATTTGTTGGGACAATTTTGCTTGTCATGCTCTTTACTTTACAGACACTACAATGACAGGAAGTATTACGTATTACTTGTTGATCTAATTTTTTTATTTTTTTCAATTGTTGATTTAATTCATTGTTTTTTAGTTTACCTTTTTCTAATATGCCAAAGTGGGTTTTGAACATGATGATATGTAATTTCTGAAGCCTGAGCATCTTCTGAAATTTGATTCTCTTTATATTGATCATCATCTGTAACCTCTTCATACTCTAAAACTTTATCATCTTCCATGATTTATTCACTTTTCATATCTTGTTTATATTCTGTGGCTTGATCATGTTTGGTATTTCATGACATATTTATTTTTTATTGCATTGTATTTTTTTATATTCACAAATCTATTCTTTAAATATTTCCATCAAAATATTAGAATCTCTAGAATCATCATAATCGACTAATTCTATGCATTTGTATGCAAGTCCAAATAATGTTCCTTTAATAGATTGCTTTGGCCAATTACTTTCTCAGCTATTTGTTTGGGTGTTTCAATAGACATAGCATTCCATGACTCAGCAACAGTTGAAAACAAAAGTATGCTTGATGCATCTAATGTTGTATCTTTATATACTTGTAACTTTTCTTTGACAAATGGTTCATCAATAACTGATATATTCATCATTTCATCTTTATACTAGCATTTTGAGATAAGAGAAATATGAAAGAGACCTTTTTCAGATTGTAAATAAATATAAAACTAATAATAGCAAACAATATCACTGCCAAATTACAAAATATATGTACAAAAATGGAAGCTGTTTTTTAGTAAAACTACATGCTGTCTGATACTTGACATATTCTCAATTGATCAAATCTTTCAAACTTCAGCTATTAAAAAATAATTAACCTCCTCAAGAAGCCTATCAAAATATATTTGACAAAAGTCATATTCGAGTTCAATTGGCCCACTTTCTACTATATCCAATATCAAATAAAATAAATCATTAAAATCAACCTTTTGACTATTATACATCATTGTTTCATTTATTTGAATAACATGAAATTCTAAAATTTTAGGTGTAATGTATTTTTGTAAAATACTATATATTTAGAAAAACCTTCTACAAATGTTTGATGTTTTATATAATAATATTTTTTCATGCCAGGCTGAAAATCAACTAGTAAATTGCTCTTCAGCAACATGCATTTCAATTCATTTAAACAGAATGTGTAATTGAGTTTTTTTATTTACTGTTTATTTAATCACACTGTTTATTGACTCAGACTGCTGAATAGATGTTATTCCTGCTGTAAAAATTTGTCTAGTAAATGCTTTTGCCCAGGTTGTTTTGTAAGGATCAAGTTGTTTAAGCAAATATTCAGTTGACTATAAAAAGTCAATTATTAGCTGCTTCTAATATCTTTCAAATGCTTCTTTGAATAAAACATTTCGAGCATAATAAAATGCTTTAAGAAAATCAAATAATGATCAGCAAGTGTCTTAGACAATTGTTTTTCAATATTACGTCCAATGTGCTAAATGCAATAGAGAAAGTAAGTATTTGAGTATATCTCAGAGACAACACTTTCAAGATCCAGATCGGTATCAATAATAAAAGTACTAGGATGAACCTCTGTAGCATTGATCATTTATTGTAATAATCATCTGTAACTTTCGCTTGCTTTATCAGATAATATGACTTGTATATAATCCTTAATTTGAAATTGTTATCAACAATAGTAAAAATGCTTAATAGTAAGTTATAGGTATTGGTTGATGCTATATTATCATTTAAAATAATATCTGCATAGCTCTGCCAAAGTTCTTGTTGTTCAGGTGATATGTAAAATACACTCTGTAATCTATTTGTCTCAGAATCAATTAATGGTTGGATGTACCAATCAGGATTCTTAGTGCGTTCTTTTTCAAAGTGTTGAAGAAGCTTTGCTATATCACCAGACTGCATTTCATTACTTCAGTGAACCTTATACATATAATTCTTTACATCATAATCTACAATCGTTG